TTACTGGAGGAAAGAGAAGTGGTATGGACCCTGCCTATAGAAACCATCTAGTCTCTTACTGAAAACTAAATTGACATTTTATACTGAGTATAGTAACAACCCTGAAACATCCTAAAATGAATGATCCGGACATAATCTAGATCCTCATAAAAAAAAAAAGAAATCAATCCAAGTGTTTAAAAGAGAGAGAGAGAAAGTAATATGAGAACAATGAAATGCATTTTTACTGTTTAATATAAAGTCACCTTTTTTCCTGCGACACTAAGGGATTTGGCGGATCTAGTATGAATTTCATTTGCCACCGTCTATTTGTCATGTTCTCCTGACAACTCGTAGTTGCCTTTCATTCAGCTTTCATTTAGTCTCACCTTGTGCAAATGTCTAAGCCAAGGTTATGTGTGCGTGTCACTTGGCGCACGCAAACGCAAATCCTCCCTCCCGTAAAAGGCAAATTTGGATGAGAAATCATATTTATCTTTCCTAAGAAAACCTAATTAATTTACTTTGTCGGAAAACATGTATGAATCCCTCGGGCTGTGTTGAACCGTTGAACGTAACTGCAAGTCCCTCTCAGAAACACAGTAATCACTCGCCGGGACGGAGGGAAATCTCCCGCTCGCAGAGACAGACAGCTCAGACACGGTGACAAGGTCCAAGGTTCCACATGATGGAAAACATGGCAGTATTTCAATACATAAAATGAACGCAGATGCACTGGCGTTCTTCTGCAAAGCCTGAATAAATGCATACAGATAAACACTGCTGAAAAAAGCACAAACGCAGAATCTGTACATGTCAAAATATCTATTAAATAGCTTTCGTCTGAAGTTACTTCAGTCTAATACTTTCAATGACTTGAAACCGAGCCCTGACTTTGAGTTTATAGAATCAGTGTACTTAACAATGCACATATTTGTTTCTCAAAGAGAGATGGATCTCTTTAAGAGAGTAGCAGGACTTAACAGTGTAGCATGGAGAACATGGCTCACTGAATGTATACTAATTTGCCTCAGTCAAAAGAAAACAGGCTGAGGACAATATGTTTGTTTTGCTTAAGCTGGATTTGCACGGCACACAGCGGCAGCCAGACTTCAAAGTGCTGCGAGCTTTTATTGGCACAGAAAAACGAAGGTAATTGCTTGTGATCATGCAAAATTGTCAGTGTGGTGGAGACATTTTGTGCTATAGTGCCAAATATCAAGCCCTCGCATTGGAAAAAGAGTAGCTGGGTGTCATTTTTGATTCAAAGTACTTGCTCTCGCCGACAGAAACGGGATGCAGCCATTGTGACATCTTCTGCGTTCATTTTTCAAAGAGCGTCAAATCAAACATGCATGAGCCCGTGACAGTGTGGGCCTGAAAGTCCCTATCTGAGGGGTAAAGCACTTAGAATGGCACCAGCTAGCTAATGCTTTGCACATCGTATCCCAGTGCATCCTTGGTCACATTGTCAGCTCGAGAGTCGGAGGCAGCCTTCAACAAGCTTTCAACTTATGCAGCCTGGAAGCAGATTCGGTCCCACGCCACATTCTTTGCAGATGCATGTAATTAAAATCAAAAGCCCCTCTCCCTCTGCATCGCCGAGGTCACGAACCGTAAGATGAAACGGAGCAACATACCGTTAAGTCTGTAAGGAAATCACAAGTCATGCACTCCTATTGTCTGAATAATCTGTAGTTCGGAGGCTATACTTCATGTTAGCGCATTAACCCCGATCACCACAGAAACGAAAGTGCACGCACAAGTCGAGCAGGCGGTTATGCAGACGAAATGTGAACCGTTAAAAAAGGCCATCAGCGTATTAAGCGTAATAAATGATCCACAGTGCAGCATGTGGACTCAAACAAAGCCTGACTCGGGTTCAAGAGTGGGCGTGTGCGGGTGGTGGCTAGACGACTATTTGCTTTATGATGAATGAACATGGACCAACTATTTCTCAATTTCACCACAACAGTGTGCTAACAGTTAAATGTAAACCTGTCAAAACACTGATTAGTATTTTTTTAGCTGGTAAAAAACATATTGTGCCTTATTCTTGCTTTAAGAAGAAGAGGAGATGCAGTATGTAACACCATTAATGAAGAGTACCAAAGTAATTTTAACCTAATTTTGCCTACAATAATAAACTATGACTCTTATTAGGTGTCATTTTTCAAGTTTCTAAACCTAAATAAACGTTTGTTTTGTGATAAATTTGAAGTAGTTGACTAGAAGTGGGTGAAACAAATATATTATAGTACAATGAAACATGTACTATGTTTCTACTAATCAATGCCTAGTAGAAAGTTTTCTTCACTCATTTGGGACCTCAAAGTCCTAAAGGCAAAAGTTTTGCACCACTACACATCTGATTATTCAATGCTGGTGCTAAATTAAAAAAATAAATAGTTCACAATACTTTGTGTATCACAACTCATAAAGATAACCCTTTATGTATGGTATTGTGACTCAAGTATCATGATAATATTCTATAGCGGGATCACTCACGATTCCCACCCTTAAATCGCCCAGTGAATTAAGCGAGCTTTTGTCACACATGCCAAGAATTTGAATGTGAAAAGAGATCATCTAGACTACGCTCCTAAACTGGACAACCTTGAACACATTTGTTAGGCTAGACACAATAGAGGCACAAATGTGCATAAATAGGCAGCGATGTGAGCAATAATGACTAATAAACCTGTTACTGAATAATTTGCGTGTAAAATCTAATACATTTTGACAATGTTAATTCGTTCAAATGACATAACTGACCATTCTCTCTATTTTGGCATGTTAAATGCAACTTTTCAACGATCTTATGGAAGTTTAATCCCACATTAAGCTCAATTAAGTCCTGCGCAATACCTCTTTAGTCCCGTTGACAGAATGACTTGAGCTCTGTCTGTGCCTTTACATGACTATGGCTAAAGCCTCTGCCCTTGGTAATGATGATCCTCAACCTGGGGCCCCCATCTGAAGGAGGGAAGAAAATAAACTCCTCTCCTCTCCAAGACACATTCTCCATTCCTGACTCATACAAGTTAAGCCACTCATAGAAGGGGACATCACACTGGTGGGTAAATCTGCTGTGTTTTAAAATACACCCCCAGTAGACTCACCAAATGAGACTCCAGTCTTATGCGTGAGTTCATTTTTAAACATTTGCTAACAATAATTGGCCTTAACAACATACCTCCTCCAATAATGAACCAACACCACAATTCAAAACGAGCGAGCTGAGAGCTTACTACTTTCACCTTTGTTCCAGGAGCAATCCACCCTGAAGGGGGAAGTTTTTAACATTATCAGTACTCACACAGCCATGTAAACATTGACTGTGATTGTACTGTACTAGAGAGGTGACCAAGCAATTGTCATCAAATGACAGCTCTGACTGAAGAATCATGCTGAAAACAATAAGTTTCTGTTTTCAACAAGCATGTCCACCATAGAGAAACTCTAGTGTTAGAACTTAGTTTTGAGAAAACAAAACCTATGTTCATGAAAACAATGACAATTTACGGTAAGCTTAAATTGTTGCTAGCAAGAACTTTGGCTACCTTTATAGGCTTTTTATAGGCAAAAGAGTTGCCTACAATAATTCAATATCAATCATTTCAAAATCAAAAGCAATAAGATGACAATGTATAAAGTATAGGCCAGGCTTCATTAAACATCATGTAGGAAAATACAATCTTATTAACCAAAGCTGAAAGTTGTAGAATTACTAACTGTAAGAATCTCATGAATAAACTGTTCACTCACAATACATGCATTAACCAAAAAAAAAAAGCTGGTGGACACTTGGTACCTGTGAACTGTACCGTGTTGGGTAGTTTTCTTCTTAATGTAATTACACATTTTATGACTAAATCATAATCTGTTCACTTCTGAATTTTGATAAAAATACAAAAAAAAGCAACAAAAAGTGCTTATTTCTATATTATGTGTCTCGCTGAATATTGAATCGTAAATAAGTGTATCAAGTGCAAATTAAGTTTCCTTAGATTAAACAGTCAAATAAACTAGTATGTAAACATTTATATTTTGAAAATAATAACTGCATTTCACAACAATATGCATCTGCTTGAATTTATTTTTGCATGTATTGTGCGTATTTTACAGCTACATGGGGCACAATCAGTAAATTACACATTTATGAAACATTAATTTATTGCCGTTTCCTGGCATCTAACGTAACCCATATGTAATTATGCAATCACAAGTCAACTGTCATCTAATTAAACAGCCTATATGTAAAAATGCAATGATTTCCAATTACAAACACTTGATTTTTCTAATCTTATTACGAAATCCAGATCACATAGTCAGTTGGTACCCAACACTGCGTGTGTCCTCAAAGTCTGCTCCAATGTTGCATTCAAGCATTCACGGATTGCAAGATTCGAACGAGATGTTACAATGTATAAGCGGTTACAACGTATCATCGCGCTTCCGAACGCGGTTGTCCTGTTACTAGAGCACAGCATGAAACCTCACATTTCAGCACATGGTGGAAAGCCTTGTTTCCTATCACTTAACAAGCAGCCACAATATAATTTTCACCTAATCAAAAAGACCCGAAAGCATCGCATTCGTGCAACCAAGCCATCCAAATGTGCCCATCTAAGCGTGCCAACCAACCGTCCACCGCATGACAGTGCCCTCTTCATCTGAACAATGCAACACACCAGAACGATACGCTGAACGGTATGTAAACGGTGGGCTTCTCCGGTTCAGCCAAATTCCGCGTTCCTCTGAACGCCACTGTCCAGGAAAAATGGCTCAATAGTGTTTTGCGTCCAAAACACAAAGCCGTACCGCCAACGTTTCAGTTAGTGCAATTGTTTCCTGTGCAGAAATACATGTGTACACATCTTAGCGATACTTTAAGTGACTCTATTGTTAGCTGAGGTTGGAGCTAGCGCGGAGGCTTCGGATTCATTTCAATGCAATGCATAAAAAGCTTCCCAGCGAGCGAGGTGTGAAAACGATAGGAAAACACAAACACAACTTACTTTCAGGTCCAATCACAGCACGGCGCCGAAAATCTCCTGGGTTTGAAGTTGCGATCTGTTTTCTCCCCTCAACACTTCACAAACAGTGAGAGAAAAGCGCACGGCGTTTCGTTAGTGTGACTGTCTGAATCAACTAACGTAGTGCACGGCAAGTTGAAGTGTCAAATTACACGGGCTATTCTATTACCACAGAGCCATGCTTGCCGGTTGCTGACAAAATGTGTCCCAGAGTCGCGTAAAGCGCTCGCGCCTTTGGAAGACAGCAGGCGGCGCGCGCAGATGAACGGACTGGATTTACACGCGAGCTCCAGTTGTTTGCTGTTCGAATACTACAACATGTCGTTTGGCTTTACTTAATTATAATCAAACCACGGAGACCACAATGCCTTTCTTTCCAGGCAGGTTACTGATGAATACATAGTAGAACGACTAAAGATATAACATGTATCAAAACAACGCCATATGTAAAGTGCAATTATTGTTCCAACTATTGTACCATTTGCACTTACTAATCTGTTAGTATTTTAAGTAAATAAGAACTGCAGCAAAATGTGACCATTCTTTTCAAGCTCTAATTATGAGTAAACATCATATAAACAATTATTTACATAAATAAAGGCCCATTTTTGTGTGAGCATTAAGCATTACGTTTATATTTTTGCATTTAGCAGACACTTTCATATCGAATTTTATATTTGATCCTCTCGTACTTTTTTTCCTTTCTGCATTTCTGAAACAAAAAATATGTATTTTTGAAAATAATAAGCATATAATATTATAATACGCATATAGGCTAATAATAATTATGAAAATAGTAGTAATAATAATAATGCGTTACACAAATCCATATTTTTTGTATTTCGCCTATCAATCTAAACGGTTAGAAGTTATCTGATAGAAATCTCCTCCCCAAACACAATCAAACGCGCCCCCATGTGAGTCCTCCTACTTCCCGTGAATAAAAGGAATCGCTCGTTCCGTATTTTGCGATTCGCCGATGGAAAGCTCTGAATAACAAAGACATGTTTGAGAGCAGCAGCGCCAGGCTTGGCTGAGGGGTGACGTCAAGGAACAATGACTCTTCCAACAGTGCCGAGACACCGCGCGCATCTACTGCCTCCTCAGCTCTGCTCTGCTCAGCTCTGCTCTGCTCAGCTCTGCTCTGCTCTGCTCTGCTCTGCTCAGCCAATGCTGCACGACTCGACTGACCAAGCGAGCGAGCGTCTAGTAGTGCATCACACGCTGCGCTGCCTCACACACCACCACCACAACAACATTCCAGCATGTCCCTATGACTTATGTCCTAAAATAGGGAGATATGCAAATACTCTGCCTGGGATTTTACAGCTTGTCTTTTTTTTCTTCTCCTGACAGGAGCAAAGCAAATTGCTCAATATGACAAGCAGTTTTATTGTTTTTAATATAGTCACATTCTGAGTTCTATAACTTTTCTATACAGTAATTAAAGCAGTTTATATATCTGCAATGAAACTGTGTAAAAACAGTGCCGAGACACCGCGCGCATCTACTGCCTCCTCTGCTCTGCTCTGCTCTGCTCTGCTCTGCTCAGCTCTGCTCTGCTCAGCTCTGCTCAGCTCTGCTCTGCTCAGCTCTGCTCTGCTCTGCTCTGCTCAGCCAATGCTGCACGACTCGACTGACCAAGCGAGCGAGCGTCTAGTAGTGCATCACACGCTGCGCTGCCTCACACACCACCACCACAACAACATTCCAGCATGTCCCTATGACTTATGTCCTAAAATAGGGAGATATGCAAATACTCTGCCTGGGATTTTACAGCTTGTCTTTTTTTTCTTCTCCTGACAGGAGCAAAGCAAATTGCTCAATATGACAAGCAGTTTTATTGTTTTTAATATAGTCACATTCTGAGTTCTATAACTTTTCTATACAGTAATTAAAGCAGTTTATATATCTGCAATGAAACTGTGTAAATTAATTTGTCAAAAGAATACAATCTACATCACTGTTTGCAGAATTAAAAGAAACGACTTGTTCAAAAGTTGTGTTGCATAATTGTTCAAAATAATTATGAGATCCATCACCACCCCATTTCACTTTAAACATTGCAGTTCAATATAGTAAAGAATCATTTTAATTGAAAGCAAACATTGAAATACATAAAACATAATATACAGTGTATGTCGCAAGTGCACATTTTTATTAGCATGTAGAAGTTGTGTGAATGTTTCAAACCAAATTGAGAGAAACTGCTTATTTATATGATCCCACGTCTGTCACCCATTCAGTGTTATTTTGGTATTAATATTTTTAATTTGTATTAATATTTTTTTGTTTTCATTTTAATTGTAGTCAAAGTTTTTGTAATTCTGGTGTTTTGTCATTTTTTATCATTGTATACATGTTTAAAGTTTTTCGGTTCAATTTTATTTACTGCAGTAAGTTAAACTAAATTAGTTCAATAAAGTGTTTTATAAGTTTATCAGTTAGTGTTTTTTTTCCAAGTGACACTTTTTTTAATGGTTTTAGGTTTAGTTTTAGTTAACTATCCTGCATCCATTAACATGATCACCAATCAAATTATAAATCCGATATGAAAAATTACCTTTTTTTATAAGTCGACTGTCACCTCAGGAGGATGGTGGTCATGTATGACAGTGATTTAAACCCCTATAGCTCATGTATAATTGGTTAAACAGAAGGTGTGACAATTGACACCCCCTGTCAATTCACAGAACCCATTGTTTTGATTATAGGAACACTGTGACATATTTCTCAATAGGGTGTCAGATTTTTTCCCCTGCCATCTGTCAATTATTTCCCAACAATCTTTGACCAGTGCTTTCAGAGAAAGTGTTTGGAAGTGTGTTTTGACATCCTTAGCATCTCCACCGCACCGCTGCTGACTGGGGCCCATTCTCTGAGCACTCTGTCTCAAGGACACTTGCTCCTGTACAGTTATCTAAGTTGGCAGGGATAAATCTAGCAGATGACATCATTGGTCTAAGGCAGTCATTCATATTTATTTCTGTCCTGTTCTTATAGAATGAGAGTTCACTATCAGCCAAATGACAATTTAAGTGCTGCAGTCAATGTCAAAGCACCCTTTTTCTCACATTCAGATATTTTCCATTAGTTTTCCAGTTGCTGCTTTAACCACACTTCCTTTTCAATCCTGATTGGCTAATGTCTTTTTGTTGACATGCACTTCTTCCTAAGGTCTCGAGGTACTTTATCAAGGCCTGACTTTCAAAGTGATTTAACAGATGCTGTTTGAATTTGTCGATAGGATGACTGGTGCCTCAAATGGCTTTTGCAAAGATGGATATCCCCATGTAACATCAGTATCAAAGCACGGCGTTAGTAATGCTGAGTACCACAGTGACTATTGTGATATACCTTTTAAGCTGCTTGTAATATCCTGTGTTCTGGGCCATTAATCATGTTTTTGTGAAGTCCTTCAGAGATGCCACGGTTCATGCGAACAAAATCACAAGCAGTCAATGAACAGCACACTTCAGTTCAAAGCTGGTTGTTGTAAGGGTTCTTAGTGTTCGTGGATAAGCCCACAACTCTTACATTCTGAGACAATATGACCAGATGGCTGCCAAGAAGATGGATGGACTTTAGGTGGAGTGACTTCAGCTTGACTGAACCTCGGTATAATTTCATACACACGCAGATGCAAGAAATCAAGATAGAATTTATAAGGTCTGGGCTCCCTTTCAATTCATGAGTGTGAATTTTTTTTACTGAACTGGTCACATCCCATAGGAAGCTGAACTGGAGTGACAGGAAGGAAGAGGAATTTACATAATGCATTATATATATAATTATTTAATTACTTAAATGTAAGTGTTTTATATTTCTATTTATATACATCAATACATTGTATGGGTCAAAATTATCGTTTTTTTTTTAATGCCAAAAATCATTATGATATTAAGTAAAGATCATGTTCCTTCAAGATTCATTCCTACCGTAAATATATCAAAACTTAATTTTTGATTAGTAATATGCATTTCTAAGGACTTCATTTGGACAACTTAAAAGGTGATTTTACCAATATTTTGATTTTGTTGCACCCTCAGATTCCAGATTTTCAAATAGTTGTATCTCGTCCAAATATTGTCCAATCGTAAACCGTACATCAATGGAAAGCTTATTTATTCAGCTTTCAGATTATGTATAAATCTCAATTTTAAAAAATTGGCCCTTTTGTGGTCCAGGGTCACATATAATAAATGTATACAAATAAATAAATATAAAATAAATTCTAAATAAATAATGTAAAAACAACATTGTAAAATAAAAATCAATTCAACAAAATATTTATTATTGAATCATCAAATATAAAATGTATTCATATTTAAAAATATTTAAACAAAGTAAATAAATAAATAAATTGTGTCTATAAATATTTAATATAAAATGTATCAACAAATTAAATTAAGTGCAAATTTTCATGAAATATCTCTATAGATGCACAAACTTTCAAGTTTTGTTTTTAAAGTTTTTCCAAAACTTTCAAACAAGGCTCTGTCAACATTCAAAAGCTAACATACAAAGTTTGTCAATTAATTGAATTTCACATCATTTAAATTTTGCTTGCTTACGGAATTTCAAAACCATGCTCAATTCAATTGTGGTCTGGCAGGTGTCAATGTGTCAATATGATTACATTATTAGCTACTTCCCTCTCAGATGAAAAGCCAAATGAAAGGACAAAAAAACCCAGAGAGATCATTTGGACACGTATCCCCATTTTGCTGCACTTTTCGACCCGGACTGACATGAGCTGGCATTCCATGGAGAGCCACAGCTCAGCTAATTCCCTGACAATCACAGGGGAAATGATTGATGCTGCTGGGACTTCATAGCTTCATGATGGAAGGAGAGTTTCAGTTCTGCTGACATAAACTTTCACACACAGACTGAGCGTTCACAGATTATTTACAGCTTCTTTACACAGCGCTCTATCGCCCTCACAGACCTCCTTAGAGGAAACACAAGCGACTGTGCCAAAGCACCATTAACTGGGTAGGTGTAAAGGATATTACAGAAGTGTAAAACAGACAAAGAGCGGAAATGCAGATCAAGGGCATATAAATGAGTGGCGCTGAGACGTTACCGCAGCGCACAAAGATCAGCCCACATGGAGAAAGGCAGAGGTGCACAACGTATTTGACAACAAGACACAAGAGAAATCCGTTTAAGTACACTATTGATTCCCTTTAGAGTACAGCCACTGAGAGGAGA